AGCACACCTTCAGCATCAGCAGCAGCCTCTTCGTCTTCTTCTACAACACCCCTTCCAACATTATCCAGCCTTGGCCTTGGTCACAAAGTATACATAATACCACAACCCAAGTATCAACAGCCTGACGCTTAACAACACCAGCTAATCTAATTCAAGACAATCCAGTTATTCAAGACAACCCAATAAGAAATGCATTTCACATAAACTACAAAACTTAAGTCCAACTTCCATACCTTTCGATGACAGCATCAATAATAACTTGGATTGGGTTCTGGTCAGTCAAAAGGGATCCATATGCCCATGGAAGCACTCAACAACCAAGTGCTCCCAAAAGTTGCTCATTGTTTCGTCATTCAACCTGTCCATTGTGGTGTTGGTCATGTCAAACTCAATAAATTTTAGTGCATATGCCCCGTAATTAGCACTACAATAGGAAGAAGACATTAGCATTAGAATCAACTTATAGAACAATTGTATTATGTAAGTTTTATACAAAATTTAACTCGAATCATTTATCGGGATGGGAATACGCTTGAGTGGCCGCTTTCCTGTCAATAGTTAATCACCCAAGTGATGCCCGGCTGTCGCGCAACAGCCGCGGGAACAATATACACAGCAGCCGCAACTCTGTCTCCAACTGCCTCTCTCGACAAAACTCCGGTTGCAGTCAAGGATCTGCAGCAAGCTTTCCTCTAGTACCCAAATGACAGTTATCCAATGTATATCCTTGATGTTCATGATGTAGTATACTCTTTTAACGTTTGCCCAGTTGTTGCCATATTACGGCCTTCCCCCCTGTACATACTATATCATCCTCTCATCAAATTGAAAATCATTAAGGGCACCGTCGAGTTCATTTGTAGCCAATCTTTTCTGCTTGCCTCCCCTTGTTGCACCTCCACCATTGGCCTTTTTTATTAAAGTGTCATATGTAGTTACTAGCCCTTGGCCAAAGGCCACATCAGTGGTGGCATAGTGCAGATACAAAATATCACCATTACTTCTCTATCGTAGCCTCATAAGTGCCAATACCTCATCAATGTGCTGCATCAAATAAAAACAACTTGATAAGTCTATAATACCTCATGGAAAACATAAGCAAAAATAAGGTAAAATAACTCACTGAGTCATCGAGCCACCTGCCCATTGTCAACTGTTGAGTGTTGGAAATGCAGATTTATTTTGTGATTTGGAGGTGAAATTGTAAGAAATTCAAGTTTCAACACAATATTTAGGATAAGTTTCCTTACTTGTTTTGTTATCTCTAAGAATCACGGGTTTTGTTGTGTTTTCAAGTATTCAGGTGCAAAAAGATGGATTATTCGTGCTTGGGTAGGTGTTCGAACATCCTAGATCCTTCGAGTGCAAATAAATCAAGGCGAATGGAAAAAGAGTGAAAGTTCGCATCTGAGCCACGATGCACTTTTCTGAGCCACGGTGTGAAGACAACGAAACAGAAATTGAGGCACGACGCAATTACATCATTAGACTTGACGACGGCATAAACGCACAATTGGGCCACGACGCAATTTATCTTAGCCATGGAACAATTTAATTGAGCCCTAGCGCAAAACTTTGAGTCGCGGCTCAAATCATGCAGAATGTAAAAATGTCGCATTTCCAACCCTAATTTCGGCAACTAGTATTTACAAGTTTTCCATTTTGTCTAAACATTATATAAAGGCAACTTTAGTCCCTTTTTAGGGAATTTTGAGGTTTGAGATACACAATTAGGGAGAGAATACTTTTGGGGCTTCTTGGAAAGGTGGAGCTTGGAGAGGAGAGGAGGTTATCTTCCTCTCCTCCTCCTTTGTTCTTCATGATTATGGTTCTAGGTGTTGTTGTTTCTTTTCCTTTATGTTGTATTTTGTTTTCTAGGGGTTTGATGTAATCTTATTGAAGGCTTGTGTTTTATTGTTAATCTATTTGTTTGATCAATTCTATTATGTTCTAGATTCATCCATTGAATTTAATTCAATCTTTAGTTGATATTAGGGCCTGATCAACCTTGATGTTATTTGTTGATTGTATGAGACAAGATTGGGTACAAAATGATTGATTTGTAGCCCTACCTGGGTATAGATTGGTTATTGTCTTTAAGATCGTCTTGTACTTAATGGGTTTTTGTTACTAGACTAGGCTATAGCCTACAAGTCACTAGCTAGTTTAGTTGATGGAAACACTAGGTTATTCTGAATGGCCACGGTAATACCTTAGAAACGAGAGACGTCGTGCCTATCTTGATTAGCTCTGTGAATGGATGATTTGTGTCTATGCGAATTGGTTCATTCATTGTTTAGACTAGGCTACACACCACTAGCTAGTTTGAATGATGAAAGTACTAGGTTGAACACAATGATGTATGAACCCTAGAATGAAGTGGGGAGAACGATAGTTCGATGATGAACACATAGCCTGATAATTATGATGGAGTTAGAGCCCTAGGATTCTTTGTATATAGTTAGATTTAGATTTACTTTAATGTCATTTTTATGTTTTCTTTATTTCAATTCTTGTTGCTTTGATTCATCAAGGCATAGTTACTAGGATCGCAAGAGCATCTCCAGTCTCTGTAGGATCGACCCTTACTCGTGCACTATGCTGCAATTGCAACTCGTGCACTTGTGAAGGATTAAACTTTGTATGTCTGTCATCAACATCTTTTCAAACCACTCCTGGGGATAATCCCCAGTCATGCACTTTACACGCCCATCACTTCCAGAATCATTATAATAGGCATAGAAGAGTTTTTTATTTTCCTCATCTACTGGCCTATACAAATCGACCTTTAACTCCTCCGTTTTCACTTGCTCACTTCCTCTGCCTTCCTCCTCACCCTCATCCATTTTCACTTCCCCACTTCTTTCGCGTCCCACCTCACCCTCCTCCATTTTCAATTCCCCACTTCTTTCGCCTTCCTCCTTACCCTCCTTCATTTTTGCTTCTCCACTTTCATAGACTTTCTCATTTTTTTTCTTCATTTTCCTCTTCTTTCCATACGTTACTGTCATGTAAGGAGAATTTACATGCTTACTCTTTCAGCTCTCTCTTTTATGCTCAGGTTGCACTTCAACCACTTTCAATACCCCACCAACTTCCTCCTCCACCCTATCAACTTTCTCCTCAACCTTTTTCATCCACTCTTCCATCTTCTCAAACCTCTCATAAACAGCTATTGTAAAACTCTCAAACAAACTGTTTATGAGGTCAACCACCTCATTCTCTTGACTTCAACGCCTCGGCAAAGCGGTACTTGTTGTACCGATTTGACAATTGGGTGGAGGCGTACAAACCTCTTCATCCTCCTCATCCTCCTCCCGCTGATTGGAGCTATTCATCATCCTCGACGTCAACAACATTCTCAAGCAGTGGCCCTGCAACTGCACTCACATGCGTGACCCCTTCTAGGTCCCGCATTAGGCAGTCTATCCCTTCATCTGCTACATCGTCCAGTGCTCTGAACCATGTAACATGCTCCTCTCCCGCTTCACCCCTAGTGGTGGTGAGGAAGGGACAGACGACTCCTTGCAATAAGAAAAAAAAAATCAATCAAATTTAAGCCACATTCAAAAGCAAATGCATATTCAAAAGATTAATCCTTTAATCTTACTCGGGCTGCTTGAATTTCCATGTCTATTTTGTCGTAATCCCAATGGGTACATTTCTCGATGTGCCATCGCAACATCCTAGAAAATTACGATCGTTCATCCGAAGTCTTCTCCCCCCCCCCCCCCCGCCTCGCTTTCGCCTTAGCTAGGACAGGGATAGCCTCATAAATCTAAGTCTATGTTGTAAAAAAAAACAGTTCATATCATAATGACACAATTGTGCGTGGCCAGCCCTGCAATATGCAAAGCAGCCCTCCAGCCCCCATATTCCACCACCTCTTGCCATCCCCGGCCCTCCAACCTCCCACAAACAACCTCCCTACGGCCTCCTTTGCCTTCCCCCATCCTCTAGAACCCAAACAAAGCCACTCCCTCGATGCCTGTCAACTACTCGACAAAACACCACAACCATCGTAACAATAAAACCAACTACATATCCCCCAAATTCGCACAAACCTATCAAATTCAAAACCATTAGTAAAAAACGTACCCTTTCTTCACCGGGGTCCTCCTCCTCGTTTGAATTCTCGTCGTTGTCTTCCTCTTTAGAACCATTTTCCGATTCTTCTCTTTATTCTTGTGCCGTCGTGGTCTCCTCTGCCTCTAGACCACCTTGACTCATCAGATGATCTACTGGAACGTCGTCTTCGACAACCTTTGAAAAGTTGTGGCCGTTGGAGTCTAGGATTTGGAGTGGGGTTGGGTTTTCCTCCTCTTTGTGAATATCATCCATGATTTTGTGTAACGATTTTTTAGGATCGAATATTGGCTGGAAATAGGAAACTTTTATCGAATATTGGCCGGAAATAGGGAACTTTTATCGTCCGAAATCACAAAGAAATCGAAGGTGTTTTGTTGCTCTTTTTTGGGTATATTGCTCGATTAAGCGATTTTGAAAGGAGGGGGTCGTTTTTAATTTTTCAAAATTTAAACAAACTTTTGTTAATTATAATATTATCCATATATGTTTAAATATTTTTAGTTTAACCCATTTTACATATTTAATTAATCCTAACTATGTCACATTCTGGATGTCTAACTTAAAAAAATTATAAAATATTTTTAGGGTTATTTTTGTAAATGCAAACTTGAAACGTCTGGTTGCTTAAATTTTATCGGGACCGGGTCCCTAAGTCACCTGCCATTTTCTTGACTCTTAGTCTCTCACTCAAGGGCACTCTCTTCCTTCTTAAACTCACTCATAGTCTCTGCTTACCAGGAAGAAGGACCCGGACGAATAGGGAAGGGGACCACCTTATTACTACTTACTTTTACTGAGCCGGAGGCGCTTTTTGCCGTTGCTACCGCTAAGGAAAGTCAACCCAGAGGGATTGAAAATTCAGAGAAGACGGGGAATCCAAAGAAGTGCAGGGTCCGCAGGGAATGTAATTGAATTCTCACTTTCGTTTTGAGCTTGACGTTTGTGCTGCCGCATTTTTCTGGACGGAATCGTTTCCGGTTTTTCACGGTTCACGCCGGTGTTGTTGACGTTAGCCTGAGGCAGCTGACGCATTCGTAGGTATAATTTGTTTTTGAAGAGATTGTAAGACGTGCTGTTGATTTTTTTTTTTTAATTTTTTTATTAACTAACATTTTGAATTTGTTAAAATTAGTCTGATTTAGTGATTTTTTTGCCTGGATCTTATCACGAAAATGTATGTTATTGTGCCTCTGTTTGGTTGCTGACAAAAACATACGGATTATCACAAAAATATTGTGATTTTCCTACTATTTCTCGAAAGACATCACTTAGCTTCACTTATTTTTTAGAAAAATCTGGTGTATTACATTCACTATTGATTTGCCTAAATCATTGCTAATAACATTGTGTGTGGATTAACTTTTGATTTGGGGATCGGTAGTGTTGTTGTATTCATATAATTTGTATCTGATCCAAAAAAAAAAAAAATTAAATTTCAGGTTTTAAACCTAAATTTCCTAATTTTAAGTTTCAGGCGTGAATTTGCAGCTAAGCCAGACAGAAATGGTTCTGCCCAAATTTCTCAAACAACTTTCTTTTCAACCCAGAAAATCCCAGATTTACGTTCCTCCTCCCCGTCCGTTCATAGCTTCACTGGACAGAACCGATGCATACTAGACAAAACCTAGCTGGCCAGTCTTCGGCTTCCTCACCGGCTACACTCCGTCTCCTATAGTCTTTGCGTCACCCAATTTGGTAAGTTTTTCATAAAATTTCATCTTTGTAAATTGCGTATTAATTTAATTGAATTTCTGTCACTAATTTGATAATAATTGTTTTGCTTGTGTTGTGTAATGAATACTAAAACATTGGTTGCTTGCTTATTAATGTAAAATTTATTTTATTATATATATTAAATAATTGTTTCTTCATTGGTGAAAGCTATGGTTCAAGAAAGGTTTCAATTTCTGATCTAAATTCGGTGAAGCTAAGAGAACATGAGTGAAACCTAAGTAAAATGTCAGTGCCCTTTGTTTTTAGCTTAAAGATCACGGATGATACTGATGTTAATATGAATTTATCGGTTAGATTAGTTGCCTGAATCTAATTGCTTCATACCATATTGTTTTTGGATTCTATTTTTCATTTTACAAATGCAAAAACAGAGGGAAACTTTTTTGTTAGCTAAAACGTTTAGGGAAAACATGAAATTCGTTTTCAAAACCAAATTTGACAACTAATACTAGATGCAATGCACCATTAATTATCACCTTGATCAAGAGTCTACATTTATCATAGATTCTTTTCTAATAATTTTTTTTTTTTTGTTTTAGAAAAAGTAGAAAAGATGAATTTTTTTTGTTGTAAATGTCTCTCATTTATTTGCTTGCTTTACTGTTTGTGAAATGACTGGAGTGATGTGGGACAAGTTCAGTTGAATTCTTAGAACTCCAATTTATGTTTTGATCGTTTTGGGTTTCTATTTTATTAAAATTTGGCTACAAATAGGGTTTCTTTTCTAATTAAAATCACATTATTTGGCTATAAATAGGGTTATTTATTTCACAACTTTTCATGGTTGATTAGTTTCAGAAAATTCTGATTAAGAATTGTTTTGTCCTGGATTGGACACATGATAATAATGTTTGATCTATAGTGATGATAATATAGTAAATATTACATACTGAAACTGGAATGGGATTATATTTTATTTTTCATATTACTTGAATTAGTTTGATATGAAAGATTCTATATCACTTATTAGCTAAATGGTTTTATGCTTTTTCCTTTTCAGCGATGATTACAACAAATATCCGTTCCTTGCTCAGATTCTCGGCCCTTTTACGTGTTGTTTTAATTATCTATGGAGAATGGCAAGACTCTCATATGGAGGTCAGATATACAGATGTTGATTACCTTGTCTTTTCTGATGCTGCTTCCTTAGTGGCTTCCGGACAGTCCCCATACCAAAGAACAACATACCGGTATTCACCTTTGCTGGCATTTTTGCTCGTTCCAAATTCAATTATTCATCACTCTTGGGGGAAATTTCTATTCTCGGCTTCAGGTGTGGAAACTTTATAACCTTTGGTGTAAAAATGAATTTGCTAATGTAGTGAAATTATACGATAGAACCTCTCTATAGTCATAATGTTGAGACCAACTAAATTTATTACTATAAGGGGGTTATAATTTAATAGAGGTACAGTTACAAGAATTATTGTTTTGATTTCTTATTTTATAATTCATGTTTTAGTAGTATTAAGATTTCAATTCATTGTTTTAGTAGCATTAGGATAGTACGGAAATGGGTATCAAAGAGTCACTGTAAAATTGAGTCATCAAATTCGACAACTTCAGTCCACTAATCAAATGAATATTAATGTCTTTCTTAATAATCCAATGAGCAACAAGTCGTATATGTTTTAACTGAAAAAGAAATTATTACTGGAATTAGACAAGAAGAGGAAAGAGATAATCCTGAGGATGATAGTACGAAAATACCAAAAATTTTGTGCCAAGAAGCTCTAAACATGCTTGAGAGCTAGAAATATTTTGGCTTCAATAAGAAGATGTTCATGCTAGTGGCTTGTTATGTACCCACAAAATAAAAGATGTTGTAACAACTCTAAAGTATAAATCATTGTCCCAAACAATTTTAGATAAATATTTTATTTTATCTTAAATCTTTAATGTAACATAGTAAATATTTTTTTGCAATATACATATAATTATTGCTATGTAGAGGCAAGTTCCTTAAAACGGGACCTAGAAAAATTATAACTTATTACAATGTGAAATTTATTCTTATTTATAACTGGCCCAAGTTGAGACCTGAAGTTTTTATGATTACATAGAAGTTATTCATATATAGAGTGTCATTATAGAGAGGTTCTACTGTATTTGAATTTGTCAAATCCTTGCTGAAAAATTTAATGCATAGGTATGAAAATTTAGATGACGGGCTAGTTGATATATCAATAGTGTGTTAACCAAATCAGTTTGGAACAAGCTTAATTACGAAAATTAGTGATATATTCTGTCCAGTATCCTTGCTTGTTTTGATTCTTTTGAGTGTGCTTGTGTTTTCAAATATTGCCTAAGGAAAGTTATCTGTGCATTCCATAACAGATTTACTTGTGGGTTATTTTATCCATTCCATATTGAAGCTTCGGAAGGTACCTGAGGATCTTTGCAAGTATTCTGTAATGGTATGGCTCTTCAATCCATTTACCTTCACCATTGGAACTCGTGGGAACTGTGAGCCCATTGTTTGTGCCATGATTTTGTGGATCATTATCTGTCTTATGAAAGGTATATTTCTACTTTCATTTTTTTTTTTTTTTTTAAAACTTTTGAAATGGATAGAGTTGCTATGCTTTCTTGGTGTTTTTTATTTTATTTTTGAGTTCTTAGTATGTTGACAAGTTTAATGCCCTCATATTGATGTCTCAACTGTGGGTTGTTGATGCCTGGAAAATGTGTTTGCAAGCTATAAGACATCGACATTGGGGACATACTCTTTGAAGTGTCTTTGAGGGAAATTCTGACCTTTAATGTGTAGTCTTGTTTAACTGCTCAAACAACTTTTCAGGAAATTAGTGGCTAAATCATCTTATAGTGTATTATAGATGTGAGATATCAACTGCTTAGTGGTTATTCACTGGTAATATCAGTTGGGTTTGTTTGATAAAAGCGAAAATATAGGAATGAAAACTTTCAGGGCTGAATTATTAGTTCTGAAACTGCAAAATTGAAATTATCAAGGAGAAAGCATGCTAGTATTAATTGTTAGTTATGCACATATTTGTTCTTAATTGTTTGGTGAATACACAGATAGAAGTGTTATATGTTATTTAGTTCTCAACTTGCCCTTACATCCCGAAATGACTTAATTTGTCTGTGTTTTTGAACAGTTTAATTCGGTTTGACTATTGAAATACATAATAGATATTGAGAAAGAAGGAAATCCAGGGAGAAAGGCGTTTCAAAGATCAAGAAAAGGACATGGAAAGCTTGGTTTGAAAAAAAAAAAACTCAATTTGTGGGTATATCTAGTTTAACTCGTAGGCCTCTTGTAGTTGTACAAGAGATCATGTGATCTAATTCCAATCCCACCAAGATAGGTTGGATATGAGTAAGGTTAGAAGATTGGAAATGAACACATGTTGTTGTCTTCAACCATGCAGAGTGAGTACCATAATAATGCTCATCATGGAACTTTCCACTACCATTTTGGATTCTGCCAAGAAGTCCTGTAAGACAGAAATTTTTCTATGAGATCCAGTCAATCAAGTCTGAATTCTGGAATCTTATTCTCTGCTACTTTCCCTTATTGCTTTCACCCAAGTGATGTTTGAAATGATGTTACCGTTGAATAAATATCGAAAATTTTAGGTAAAACTATTAGTTGTTTATTTGAAGTGCTTTGTTTTCAATTAGATCGTTATTCAGCTAAACCAAACCAAATATGGTAGGTTTAGATTGTTCTTGTTCACAGAAGGATGCTTTGTGGTTCACATTAGATACAGATGATCTATTAGGGAGTGCTTGGTGATGGAGAGTTGTAGCCACAGTTGCAGACTGCAGATGTTGCTTTTAGGAGGTTTATTCCTTTGTGATGGAAAAAAAGAGGGAAGAACCTTAATTTGGGATTTGGTAAAGCTTTATAAGTCCAAAATGCTTAGCCTTTCTATGTTAGCATTTTGTCTGCTCTCATGCTTTGAGTTGTTGAAGTGGGTTTTATAGTTTCAACTTACCATCTAAAACTTGACACAAATATTGCAAAAAAACTTCACTTTTGAGTTCTTAAAAAGGTTCCCTAACAAACTTGGGAGAATATTATGTTAACACCAGACTGCCAAAAGCTGCTGATAGGGTACTATGTGCTTTCAATGGCTAAACCTTACGGTGGTTCCCCCACTTGTGCATTTAAGACTACCCAATTACTCTGCAGCCCCCTCCCATTTTCTCTGGAAAAAAAAAAAAAAAAAAGAAATAGAGAACTTTCTTCATTTCAAATATGAAATGTATATTCATTTGTAAAGTGCTGCTGGAGTATGAAAGCTTCTCCTTTACCTGATTTATTTCTTTGATTTTATGACCTTGTACTGTTTATTGTCAATTCTCTGATTGGGTGTGAATCGTGTGATACAACCTCTTTTGGTTTATGCACATGAGTAGCTTGATTCTTTCATAATGAAGTTCTCAAACATTAATCAGAAGATTATTGTGATGCTGATTAATGTCTCGCTATTTCTGGTTTACAGGTAATGTTTTACAAGCTGCATTTTGGTATGGACTTGTTGTCCACTTCAGAATTTATCCTATAATTTATGCACTTCCAGTTATCCTGGTTCTTGATCCACTCTTCTTCCAATCGGGTTTTAAGCCGAAACTCCTAAATTGGAGGCTTAGGCAAGACAAAAATGCTCAAAGTTATAGTAAAATGGCAGATCAATATGGCTTATGGACACCAGTGAAAACTATATTTGCAAAAGAGAGAATAGTTTTTGCTCTGGTGTCAGGGGCTGTCTTCCTATCTTGTACTGCACTATTCTTCTATTTTTATAGATGGGAGTTCTTACATGAGGCGCTGCTATACCATCTTACTCGTACTGATCCAAGACACAATTTTTCAATTTATTTTTATCACATTTATCTCCAACATGAATGTGAGTTCTCGGTGGTGGAAAAGCTCATCTCCTTTTTGCCTCAATTTGTAGTACAGATGGTTCTCATTTTCAGATTTGGTCAAGATCTCCCATTTTGCTTTTTTCTGCAGACGGTGGCATTTGTAGCCTTCAATAAGGTTCGTTAATCAATAAATGCATTTTTATGCAACCTTAACATATAATTTTTATTCATAACACATTGGAAAGGGAGCCATATGGGTATTTGCCTCTTAGGTGATAACATACTATCTTTACTTACACGTTGGAACCATGTCTTCTTTATATTTTTACATGCTTATGTTTCGATAATTTTGACATAGGTGCTCAATTTATTATCTTTAACAGGTGATAACGGCGCAATACTTTGTTTGGTTCTTTTGCTTACTGCCCCTGATACTGCCGTGGACCAAAATGAAACTTAAGTGGGAAGGCTTCATTTGCATTCTTGTGTGGATGGGGGCTCAAACTCACTGGTTGCTGTGGGGTTATTTGCTGGAATTTAAGGGCAAAAACGTCTTCTTAAAACTCTGGCTCGCAAGCTTGGTGTTTCTGGCCGCTAATACGTTCATCCTCGTCATGATAATTCGTCGGCATAATTACTCCCCAGTATTTGAGCAGCTCGAAGCTGCAACTTTGAAGAATGTAGTGAAACTTCAGTAAGGGATTTGAGTCCTTGTAGATTTGCTAGAGTAGTTGAACTAGTTTATGATGAACTTCTACACTTAAACTTTTTACCAAATTTTGGAAAAAAATATTTACCAATTTCTAACTTGGCTTTACTTCTTAATGATCCTACCAAAATTAGAATAGGCAATAGTTTCGAATTTTGACGGCAGTGTCAATATAAGCATGAAAGTCATTTGGAAAATTTCATATTAGGGAATCATAAGCATATTGATAACTTAGTTGAATTGGAATTTAAATAAGAAAAGTGATACAGTTAACAAAAAAAGGGATACCGAATTTATGCATTAATAAACGTGGTATCATTATGATCGTGATTAATTATGAATTCTTTTTTAGAAAAAGGATAGTGTCACGTCTGACGGTGCATGAATTCGGTATATATTTTTTAATAACTGTAGTATTGCTCTTTAAATAATAATATATGATGCTTCTAAATAGAGGTAGAACAAATGGGTTGGGTTAGGCGAGTCAACCTTAATTTGGCCCGCATTAAAGAGGGTTCAACTCGGACCGTCTAGTAGGCGGGTTGGGTTGAACCCGACCCGCATGCAACCCCCAGACTGGCTGGGTTTTTTTTTTTAAAGAACCCACCAACCTGGCGGGTTGTCCGAAAAAAAATAAAAAACAAAATTAATTTTTTTTTCAAATACCCTTTTTACCCTTGAAATATAGCTGTTTTATAGCAGTTGGAGGGGCTTTTTCGTCATATTCTTTTCCCATTTTTTTCCTATAAATTGGCCTTAAACTCTCATATTTTCTCACATTCCAAATTCTCTCATTTTCTCATTTTCTCTAATCTCTATTGAAATCTCTCAATTATTCTCTTTGTTGTCAATTTGCTCTCATTTTAATTTTTATTAGTTTTTGTAATTTTCAATTCATATTTCCATATTCCAATTCTCCTTCTTTAATTATTTATTTCTTCTATATCAAATTTTTTTTTTTTAACAACAATGGATAAATATTTCTCTCCCATCAATTTCGATGATGAAGGAAACTACTATCATAGTCCCGCTGAATTTACTAACATAAATGCAGCAGATTCAAATAGTCTCACTTTCCCAGTCTCAGAATCCGATACATCTCAAAATATGCCCCCGATTCCTCCCCATGTTGCTACAACTCCTGGTGGTTCTAGAAGTCATCCTCGTAATCGTCATCCTCATCCAACTTTATCTCAAGCATAAGCGAGTTCATCAATTGCTATCGAAACCGACGACAAACACACATCAGATGTTTGGGTGAATTTCGATAAGTTTTATGAGACAGAAAATGGAGTTCAAGTGAAGAAAGCAAGATGCAAGTATTGTGGAAATATTTATAAAGCTGATTCAGGTAATGGTACTAGTACTTTAAAAGGCATGCTAATAAACATATTGCTCAACATGGAAATAGAGAAACCAATCAAACTCAAATAACTAATATGGGTACTACTTGGTGTTATAATTCTGATGTATATAAGGAACAATTAGTTTTATATATTGCTGTAACTGATCAACTTATTAATATGGCTAAAGATAAATATTTTGAAAGATTTATTAAAAATTCATTTTTTCCAGGATTTAAAAGTTATTCTAAAACTGCAACTATAATGATTTAATAAAATTGTTTGGGAAAATGAAATTAGAATTAAAAAATAAAATACATAGTTGTCATGTTAGTGTGGCTCTAACTGTCGATATTCTGAGTGGTAAAACTAAACAAGATTATATTTATGGTACTAGTCATTATTTTGATAACGAATATAGATTAAATAAATCTTTATTAAGATTTAGATTAATAGATGTGGATTATAGTGGTCAACAAATGTATAATAAAATTATTGAAGTTTTAGAAGATTATAATGTTATTAATAAAGTGATAAGTTTAACTTTAGATAATGCAAGTGCTAATAGTATAGCTATAGATTTTTTTTTAAAATTAATTATCTTTTTTATAATAATTTGAAGTTTTTTCACTAACGTTGTGCATGTCACATTATTAATTTAATTGTAAAAAGTATGATGAAAACAATTAGAGATAATATTGATAGAATTAGAGATTCTTTAGCTTGGATTACTAGTAGTAATAAAAGAAATACTGAATTTCAAGATGCTTGTATAAAATCAAATATGTCTCCTAGAACTTTTGCATTAGACATGCATGTTAGATAGAATAGTACTTATTTAATGCTTGATTCAAGTTTACCTTATGCAAATTTAATTAGTTATTTTGTAACAAATAATAGAGGTTCTCATTATTTTGGTAGAAAATGATTGGCATATAGCTAAAATATTTCATTCTTTTCTTAAAATTTTTTTTCAATCCACTTTACAACTTTCTGGTGTGTATTATCCTACTAGTCTATTGCTAATACATACAATTATAAAAATTTCAGAGTTATTTAGAAAAAACAAAAACAATAGAATTTTAAGGGAACCAAATTTTTTTTTTTTAAATATTGAAAACTCATTCCTTTTCTTTATTGTTTAGGAGCTATATTTGATCCTATAATTAAAGTAGCAGATTTAGAAAATGGTTTAGCCACATTAACTGAAAATTTACAAATTGAAGCATATGCCAATTAACTAGGAAAGGTAAGAGATTGTCTTGCAAATGTATATTTCCAATATGAAAACAGGTATGGGAACCCGCAAAGATGCGAAATACCCAGGGAAGTTGCATCAGAAGAAACAAATGAAGACTTCTACTCCTAGAGTGCATTTAATAGGCCAAAGAGGACCCGAACCCGAAGCACAACCTCCTCTTTAGAAGCACCAACAACGAATATATTGTCCTCCATGTAGTCACAGAGTAACGAGCTTCAACAATATTTGGGAACCCCCGAAATATCACCAGCAGATCCACAACAAAGAGTCAACTTTGATGTCTTAGAATATTTGAAAACCAGAAAATGTATTTTTCTGATATTATCAAGACTTGCCTCGGATGTTTTCGTTGCTCCTATCTCAACCGTCTCATCCAAACAAACATTTAGTGCAAGTGGAAGAATTTTAAATGAAAGGAGGACTAAACTTTCACCAAAAATGATTGAAGTCCTCACATGTCTTCGAGATTGGGAACGGTCGCGCCATCAAGATCAATACGAGGTTGTCGACGATACTTTAATATAATCATTTCAATTTTGTAATATAGATGATACGGATGAGGGAGGTCCTAGTCAACCCCCAAATTAGTTGTTTTGTAAATTATAGCTTGTAAATTAATTGTCAATTATTGCACTCTCTTTTCTTTACCAAGTTTTTGTCCCATAAGGTTTTTATTGGTAAGGTTTTTAACGAGGCAATAATTGTTATAATTTCTTATTTTATTTTTTGATAAATGAATAAATCTAATTTTTCTTATATTACAATTTTATTGTATTAAAATTGAATTAATATTTGAAATGTTAACAAAAAAAAAAAATTTAATTGAATTATTGATATTTGAAAAGTTAACTAAAAAAATTACACAAAATAAACAAAAGAAAAGAAAAAATAAATAAAAAAAAGGGGGGAGGGGGAGGGGGAGGGGGGGGGGGGTGGGGTAACCCACCCGCAGCATAACCACCGTGTTAGGGTTGGCAGGTCGGGCTGGGCCACCAACCCTAACAATGGCGGCCAGGTTAGGCCCGACCCACCAAAAACATAACCCCCGCGGCTAGGCCAGGCGGTTACTTTTCCACAACTTACTTCTAATACCATTTTTTTTATTTATTTGTTGGTACCATTTCAATAATGTTATTTAGTTACTCTTTGATATTCTATGTGATAATTTCTGCTTAATCTCAAATTGACAATGATATTAGTTTAAAGGCAAAAGAAAAAAAAATATGACCCATCTGTTGTATCATTCATTCGGGCTAAAGTCACTTAGGCCTTATCAGGTACTATTGTATTCTGTTGAATTATTATATACTAGAAATAGATCAAATCAACAATTATATTATTGTTGTTATTATTATTATTATTATTATTATTATTAGAGTTTAGTTTGCGTGCACCTTAACTAATCTATGGAGTTTATTGAACATCTTACAAACCCAAAAGACCAGGTAAGCCACAATGTTATTGTGGTAGGTGATCCCAAGGTTTAAACCCAGTAACTCAAGGAATGAAGCAAATCTTTTTTACTGCTAGAGCAATCCCTTAGGGTTTTGTTGTTATTATTATTATTCACTAGGGCCTTTTGGATAAAGACCGCATATTTGATTGAAATTTACTAAAATACGGTATTATTGTTTCCTATTATTTTGATAATTATGTTAATATAGTTTTAATAACCTAATATCCATTGCTTTGATTAAAACATTAGGTGAATTACTTAATTCTTCAAATTTATTCATATTTAAACAAAATTGAATAAATAAATCTCAGGAGACAACCAACATAAAAAGTCTACGATGCAAACAAATTTATTAAATCATCAATACATCTATGTAATAAAAGTTTATTTATATTAAAATTAATCAACTATAATGTGTCGACGAGAATTTATAGATGAATATAAGAATGGGAAAGTTTCGTTTAATTAAAAACTTGATGAGATTATATTATATTAACAATAATTATGTATAACTTAAGTGTTTGGTTGGAGATTATATGAGATTATTGAGGTTATATCATCTTATATTACATAATTACCACGTTTCATTGTCAAGTAATATAAGATTCTGATAATCTTCTAATACAAATAGTACAGTAATTACTGTTGGTAATATTTGAGGTAATCTGATAACCTCAATTTTCTTAAGTATTGTAAGATTACCAAGTTAATCTTATTTTTTATACAATTCTATCCCTCATTAATAAAATTTTAGGACAATAGTACCCTTATTTTAAAATTAATTTACATGAATATGACTTTTACTATTTCACCCCAATTAACTAACTTTTTTGACAAAATTACCCTTGAATTCAAAACAAATTGCAACCCACACAAGTCGCCACCCCCACCCACCTACCGTTGCCTGCCACCAACCAAACCACCGCCGAATGCTGTCGAAAGTTGTCAAAACAAGCTGGAAATCATTGTGAGTAGCCCACCGTTACTAAGAGGCTCTCAATATGGCCATTCCGAAAACGGCCATATCGAAGTAGATTTGGCCAGAAATGGCCAAATCTACTCTGATATGGCATTTTTGGCCATCAATATGGCCAGAAACAACCATATCGGAGCCTTCCGATGTCTCTCGGCTACTCATGGAAACTCCAGGCGACTTCCAGCGGTAGATGGCGGTGGCGAGCAGTGGCTTGGGGTGGTGGGGGTGATTTTATTATAGATTAAAGTTTTATATAAGCGAGGGTGTTTTAGCTAAATCTAAAATGTTGGGGGTTAAAAAAATTATTAAAAAATAATATTATATTAATATTAAAAAAGACGGCAATACAGTAATTTAAATAACATACCCACCAATTTATTCCTCCCAACCAAACATATTAATGTAACATACCCACTAGGGGGCGTTTGGTTGCCGGTAATGTGAGATAATAAGGGTTATGTCATCTTATATTACTTGATTACCACGTTTGGTTGTCAAGTAATATAAGATTCCGGTAATTTTAAAATGCCAATAGTAGTTACTATTGGTAATATTGGAGGCAATCTGATTACCTCCATTTTCTTAGGTATTCTAAGATTACCAGGGTTATCTTATTTTGTTACAATTTTATCCCTTATTAATAAAAGTTTTGGACAATAATGCCCTCATTTTAAAATAAATTTACATTAATATCCTATTTCAATTTTACCCTTGTTTAATTAAAACTTTGGACAATAATATCCTTATATTTAAAACAATTTACAGACCATCACTGCCACCCAGCCACCACCACCGACAGCGAGCCAACCACCATGGACCGCCGCCTAAAAGTCGCCAAAGTCCCTAAAAAAGAACGAGATTCAGTGGGAGGCTCTGGGAGGCTTCGATATGGCCGTTTCCGACCATATTGATGGCCGAAAATGGCCAGATCTATTTTGGCCATTTCCGGCCAAATCTGGGCGAGATCTAGCCGTTAACGGCCACGAACATGGCCGTCAACGGCCATATCTATTCTGGCCGGAATAGATCTGGCCATTAACGGCCAGGTCCATGGCCGTTAATGGCCAGAACTCGCCCAGATCTGGTTGATAATGGCTAGGGTTGTGGCCATTAACGGCTAAATCCATCGATCTGGCCTGATATGGCCGTTTTCGGCCATCAATATGGCTAGAAATGGCCACATCGGAGCCTCTTGGTTACGGTGAGCTACTGAAGGGGACTTTCGGAGACTTCCGGCAGTGGTTTGCGGTGGCGGCAACAGCGATAGGAGGTGGGGGTGATTTCGTAATAAATTAAAGTTTTATATAAGCGGGGGTGTTTTAACTAAATCTGAAATATTGGGGGTTAAAAGAAATTATTCAAAAATTAATGATAAAAAAAATTATTTTAATATTTGAAAATGGGACATTTTAGTAATTTAAATAACATACACACCCATTTGTTCCCCATAACCAAACATATTAATATAACATACCCACCAACTAACCAAACACATTTTCTTAAAGATTCCCAGTAATTTTCCAAGGTAATCTATCTTTCCAGTAATCCAACATTCCTAGTAATCTAACATTCTTGAACTAAACGCCCCCCTAATTTATTACAATTAACTAAACACATTTTCCTAAATATTCTCAATAATCTTCTAGGTAATCTAGGCTCCGTTTGGTTCAAGATTGGGAATATTACTCTTGGTATTCCCAAAAAAGTTAAACAGTAAAATACCCAAAATCTCTCATTTTTGGGAATACTATTTTCAATATTATTTAATTTTTTTTAAACCCTCTAAATTTGTTAATTTAATTAAATACCCCTAAATATTTTTTTTAAAATTACAAAAACACCCCAACAATCCACATTTACCAGATTCCAGCCACCACTATCGAAAAATGGCCAGAATCTAGTAGGATGGCGCACTACCGACTGAATCTGGCCGGTAGTGCGCCGATCTAGCCTTTGGCCGTAACACTCGGTCACGACGGCCAACAAACGGTCGTCGTTGACCATCAACGACGACCGTTTGTTGGCCATCGTTGAGAGCAAATACGGCCAGATCTGGCCGTTGACGGCCAGATCTGACCGTAGATCTGGCCTTTTCCGGCCAGATCCACTGTGGATCTGGCCGGAAAAGGCCATAGCGACGCATGACCGGCAAGATTCAACCGGTCATGCGCCCATAAGGCGACTCCGGCCACCTTCGGTGGTGGTCGCTGGCTGGGGGTGTTTGAGGGTGGGTTAGGGGTATTTTTGTTAACTTTTAATGTTTTATTATAGGGGGTATTTTGTAAAAAAAACAAATATAAAGGGTATTTTATTAATTTATAAATTCTACATCGTAATACCTGCCCAATTCAACTTTTTTTTTAACTTTTTTCAAAAAACTTTTCCCAAAACCCCCAAATTTTGAACCAAACGAAGCCCTAACTTTCTAATAATCCAACATTCCATGAACCAAACATATCCTAACTTTTATCTTTTTAGTCCCAATCTTCTATTTAATATAAAGGATTATGAAAAAGAAAAAAAATTAACACTAGTTAGTAGTTACTATACATTTTTAAAAATTTTAGGAAAAGTTTATCTACAGGTTCATAATTTTGCATAATATATGAATATTTTGTTATCCGTTATTTCTATACACTTATGTCAAAATCTAAAGTTGCACTTCATAAAGTAACATAAACTTGTTGCTTGATTTTAACTAAGTTCTATGGATATCGTGATTATAATGATTAGTTTTTCATTTCCACAAATATCATAATCACGGTAAATATTTTTTTTTTTTTTTGCTTTAAAATAGTACATTTTCAAAATATAAAACCTAGAAAAAAAGACCCATATTAAAAGAGAAAAAAAAAAACTCCAAAAGAAGAATAAACACTAATTATTTTTGCATTGGGTGTTGAAAGATATGATTTTTGGAAATTATTTTTTGCAGTAGAAAAGAATTATTAACTAATTTTAATTACCTCAGTAAGTTTTAATTTGATTATGAAATTACAAATTTCGCTTAAGTTAAATTTTCTTTTAATTTTTTAGAAACTAAAAATATAAGATTTAAAAAAAAAAAAAACCATAATAAAAAAGAATATTTTTTTTTATTATAATTATACCATGCTTTAAAATAAAAGATGAAACGGAGAAATAAAAAGGAGCGGGTAAATTTAAATCGGATACGGGTTCAAGTATTCGACCCGGACCGATCCATCCATGAATCTCGCTGCTACTGCACAGGCATTGTGTATTCCACGTCTTCGTTTTCATTCAGTCCATCCTCAAATATGGTGAGCTTCTCTCTTTGTCTACAATTTTTTTAATTTCAATTTATTTTATGAAAATTAATTTAAAATTAATTCATACTTTCAGGAAGTTTTTAGAAAGGCTATACTTCAGGCCGGTCCGCCTGAGAGTTTCGCTCTACAAACAGTTCAAGAGGTCATAAAGCCTCAGGTACTTTATTTACGGTGTTATCAATTCGAAAACTTTCTCGTTCGTGTTGGTTTCTTGGGAAAATTATTTACATTCCGTGTGTTGAATTGATAGAAACAAACGAAATTGGCGCAAGATGAGAACCAGATGTTGGAAAATATGCTTCGGGTTTTGCTTCAGCAATTAGTGGTGCGTTTCTTACAATTTTGACTTCAGTAATTGAGATTCAGCATGTTACTGGCTTCAGTGTTTGTTAATTTTTCACTGTAAAAAGTGGTGGTTTTAAATTTATTTTTTGTGCTGCTGGAAGCATTCTTGAATGCACTGTTAATTTGTTTATTTGAAACGAAATTGGCACAAGATGACAATAAATTAGAAAATATGCTTCGGGTTCAGGAATTGGTGGTACATTTCTTACTGTTTTGACTTAAGAAATCGAGATTCAGCTTTTTACTAGCTTTAGTGCTGTTAATTTTCACTGAAAATAGTGCTTGTTTTAAATTTATTTTTTTTAATGCTGAAAGCATTCTTGAATCACTGTTAATTTGTTTATTTGAAACGCATTTGGCGCAAGATGACAATTTTTAGAAAATATGCTTTGGGTTCAGGAATTGGTGGTACTTTCCTTACTATGACATCAGGAACTGAGATTCTGCATTTTCTAGCTTGTGTTTGTTAATTTTCACTAAAGAAGTGATGTCTGAGAATTGCTGATGTTAAAAATGTTACTTGAAGTGTTCTTTTGATTCCCAAAGCTTTTTGTAATGCTGAAAGCACTCTTGAATGTCTAGTTAGTTTGTTTATTTGAAACAAAATTGGTACAAGAGGAGAACCAGTTGTTAGAATAGATGCTTGGACTGCTCATTTAATTCGTGAAACCACTTAAATGATGCCGAATGTTCTGTTTGTTAGTTTACTTAAGAGATTGGTATATTGGTACAGTCCTCCGCATTGGATTCAGGAGAGCCAGTAATGCAGTATGGACAATCAATTGATGATGGGGAAACTAGCCAGGCTCAAATTCCACGGCTTCTTGGTTAGTAAATGCTTTTGTTGTTAATTTTCTGCCTTACAGTTTATATTTGTAATTCTTTGAAAAGGCGATGTTGGACAATTTGTGATTCCAGTGCAATGTAAAGGAAGAAATTGGATTCGCTTTGCAATAAAGTCATTGGTGTAGCATTGTTTGTGATTGATAATATACTTGTGATGCATTGGTTATTGTATATTTATTGCAGATTCATGCAAAATGACACTTTTATGTACATGTATATTTATTTATTTATTTTATTATTAGTTTCTTTGTTTCTAGTTCTTAAAATTTGTGAAACTTCAGCCATTAGTGTTGTGTGGGGTGGGGCCTAAGGCCTTGGATTTGATACAAATTGGTGTGAAATTATTTCTCTTTGTAATAGAGGATGAGAGCGGAGGTAAGTACATATGTTTTTTTGGTGCAATTTATCATGATGTGTACACATTCTTTAGTATTTATCAGTTGGGAGGTGGGGTTATTATATACTAAAAATGGACAGGATATATGACTGATACCTATTGTTTCTTGTGTTCTTTTATTGTTCTGTTGAGACATAGAGGAGGGTATAAGCACTCTGCTGCAGGTCCATTTCTGTTAAAAACATTCATCTAAGAGACTATTCATACGGTATTTTCTTAGCTTCATGGCGGCTTTTTGACATATTTTCATCATCCTGATTTGGTTACATTGAAAATATCTGCCAAATAGCTTGAAATTGGGATTATTTATAGGCATGGAGATCCGGCCAGCTACATTGGCAGCCATTTAAAATTCTTATCAACTGATATGTTCTTATAAGAGGAAATTCAGATTGGTATATATAGGTGTGATATCACTTATATTTGAAGTTTTGTGGCATATAAGGATGGGTGAGCGAGTTGTTATTGAAATGGGAATGTGAATTGAATGCTATGATTACTCACATCTGGAAGAAGTTATAGCTATGGAGATTAAGTCTTTTGACGGAGTGCGTTGTAGATTTTTCATTACTGTAAATGAGGATATTCTTACTCAAATTATTGATCTCATCCTACTTTTGTGTTGGGAGTCATCCCTTGCTTTTGTTGATGTTTCCTGGTTCAATGGAATTTTCATATTTTTATTGGGTTGTGAATCCTATTTGAGGATTCATTGTTTATCTTTTTAGCCTCAATCAAAACTCTCTGGGCAGTAAACTTTGTGGCTAATTGCCCATTCTTGCCTTTTCTTGTCACCTCTGTCAAATAATTATAGGGTGGATTTCAGGTGTCTTTTGCAGTGCCATGGTCATTTCAAGTATTGGCTGGCTTACAAGTCCAAAAGTGCATATTTTTTTTTTTTTTACTATCTTTCTTTCTGGTGTGTGGTATCTACTACTTGGGATAAGGGAACTTAAGCGTGTTTGAAATTTCTAACTAGTATGCCTCTGAAATAGGCAATCCAATAATCTGCATTGTGGCTTCCTGGGTCTCATGTAGAAAGCAATTTAATGGGATTCTTATGGTGAATTTGCTAATATCTTTGGAACCATTATCATCCTTTTTGTATAGTTTGGAGGCCTATAAATAGACTTGGTTCTCAGAGCTGTTTGTAGTTCTTTAACTTTTACACTACTGATAATGGAATAAAATTATACAAATCTGTGGTTTCTCTGTTCATTTATCTCTGTATAATTTTTTTTTCTTTTTCTGCTGGGATTTCAGATATTGTGCTGTATCTTTGTGAGAAAGAACATGTTGAGGGTGGCATGATATTTCAGCTCTTGGAAGATTTGACTGAAATGTCTACAATGAGAAATTGCAAAGATATTTTCGGTTACATAGAAAGTAAACAAGACATTTTAGGAAAGGTAATTTTTATGTTATTCCTGATTTTTGTGTTCCGTTATGATCACTGGCTTGATTGAACTCTATAGTTCAAGTTGTCCTTGCTTAATCCTGCCTGATACGTTCTTGAACTTGATGGTTGAATCTAATTCAGCAAGAGCTGTTCGCTCGTGGAAAACTTGTGATGTTGAGAACGTGCAATCAACTTCTTCGTCGTCTGTCGAAGGTAGTGTAATAGTGCCTTGTCTATTTATAGATTTATAATTTATAATTTATTACTATAAAAAATAATGAAACTCATTGGAATTTCTATGGTTAACTTTTGTTTCTTCTGTAATGATTTTTGTTTGTGCAATGAGATGAGAATACTTTGTTCATTGATAATTTTTAATTTACATCCTTTAAATGGTGCTTAATTATTGATGCACTTGGCATTATGAAATTTGAGAAAAATTGTCATGTTCCCTGCCATTAGCAGAGATTTTTTTTTTTTTAATTTCAATTTCTATTGTTATATGTAAATTTAACTGTTAATATTCTTGTTGGTCTACACTATGTTCAATAGTTGCAAAATGTCCAGTAAATAAGAACTTGATGTTCAGTACCTCCAGCTTTAATATTACATCTTTTTCCCGAATTATCCGTCACATTTGTTATGGTACACTTGTCCTCTTATGGTTCTGGGCTGCGGCAATGAAAGTTGCATTTTCATTCCTCCCAAAATGAGTAGAACCATTCCCATTAAGGAGGTGGTAATCAATGAAACAAATCTTCTTAATCTCCTGTATCTCTTTATCCATTTTGAAACACTGCCACCTTTCAACCAAATGCTGAAGCCACAGCCAAAGTTGCCTCCGGCAGTATTGCTTTCTAAGCTACAACTGAAGCTGCTGAATTCTCAGATGTCCTAATCGAAGAAATTTCTTTCTGTGCTGTTATGCCACACCTAGAGCATAAGTAGTTCTACTTACATTGAGTCTCAGATTGTTAGAACAACTATATCTTTCTTAATCTAGGTTTCTAGGTTCGAGATATGACAGAAAACTGTATGCTTGTGAAAACTTATTGAACATCAATGATTCAGAAATATATCTATGCCACCTCCAGTTCTTTATATAGATAGGTTAGCACAATAAAATTCCCCTATTTTCTGTAACATTCACATCAACTATCGTGCTTTATTATTATTATTATTATTACTACTACTACTATTATTTTTTTTTTATTATTTATTATTTATTTTTTTTTTTGTGAGCTAAAGCTGATATTTTTAAGGGTGTTTCCCTCAAGCCATTTCACTTACTGACCATTCTAAGGTTGGGAAAGACCTAGAGTATTTATCTGAGAATCATCTCTAAACCGAACTGGCTTAAGATGTAAAACTACAAGGTGATCTTCACATGCTCGCCTAAATAGAATCACTGTTGCATTGTATCTCACTTACTAGGCATAACAGCCTGAAAACTTGTATTGCAAAACCAAGAGTTCTAGATAGCAATTCTGTTGTTTCCTCTTGGGTGCCACTTTTTCTTAATCTGCCACAGATATTTATATATTTATACAATTATAATACCCAAGCTGTGGCAGCGAAAATACAGGAACTTCCATAGCCTCAAGTTTGATATTTTCATTACAGAGAAGATCTGAAGGGTCCTTCTCACTCTTGCTTTATCAGATGACCTTTTTAACTAGGTAGAATGGGAGACAGTGATGGCTGAAGGGCATCCTCTGAATTGTTACTTGCTAGTCAATGTGAAGGAGTACAAAATATATGTATCTTGGGTGATCTAAACTTTTGGCCTTACAATATGAAACCATATCTCATTAATCTTGCTGTAAAATGCTGAAGACACGAAAACCTGAACTTGCATGCACCCTATTAAATAAATGAGAAGGTTATGTAGATGTAGGTGACTCTTTTGATAGTGGATTGTAATGATTTGCCTTCAAACATTTTGTTTGAATATATAAATTTTACATATATAAATATCATTCTCGGTTCCTTTGGTTTGTTATTATTTTAGACAATAACAGATACACTTTTAGGCACTACTATCTTCTGCAGTTTAGAAAATTTTAGAGCTATGTTCGTATCAACAGTTACCTTGAAACTTGTTTGATTATGTTATTATGGATTCACTTTTTCTGTAATTCATTGAATTCAACTTTTTAGGCGACTGATGTGGTGTTTTGTGGACGAATCCTCATGTTTTTGGCACATTTTTTTCCACTGTCAGAGCGCTCAGGTATCTGATTGTGTTAAACCTAATAATTGCTTTTGTTTTGATGTCTTTTGGGGCTAGTTATGTTACTTTGCTGTTTTTCATTAATGATTGCAGCTGTAAATATAAAGGGAGTTTTTAATACATCAAATGAGACAAAATATGAGAAAGACCCGCCTGATGGTATATACCTAACTTCGCACAATTTTTTAGTTAATTTCAGTTTTTCTGTATTTCTGGTTAGTATTCATAAGTGTATATGGACTTTATTGTTCAGGCATTCCTGTCGATTTCAACTTTTATAAGACCTTTTGGAGTTTGCAGGTAAATTATGTTGCTCTTAGCCTATGGGACCATTCAAAAATTTGATTGATATCTTGCTGTTGTCATGCATCTAAATAGAAAATATAAAGATACCTAGTGATGCAGAACTAGAAGGCTAAATTTTAGGATATATCTTAGGAAATATTCTACATTAGGAATTTAGATTAGCTATTTTATTAGCTACTTTTGGCTTTCCTAATTAGGTTTTCTTGGGTTTGGCCTGACCACTTTAAATATTAGTCCGCAAGTTGTTGTGAATATTGAAATGATGAATGTTGGTTTTTTCTGTCAACTCTCTCTAGTAACTATTATTTTCTCCATTTCTAACTTAGTTTTACCTTCTCTCTCTTCCATCCTCTCTCTTTATTACCTTCTTTCTTATTTTTGGTCCTATTGGTCCTATATCAATATAGTATTAGAGCACAGCCTCATTCTGTTTATCTGAAGGCTTTCAAAAACACAAAAACCATCGCACAACCAGAAATATAAACTGGTTATCGTAGTAATATTAGGAATTTAGATATTTAAGTATGGTATTAGCTATTTTGTTTTCCTGATTAGTTTTCCTTGGGGTTTGGCGTTACCACTGTATAGGCCTCAAGTAGTTTTCTGGGAGACTTGGTTTGAATATTGGAATAGTGAATTTTGATATACTGTCTCCACTCGTAGTTCTTCTTATTTTCTCCCTTTTCTTTTTCCTTTATCTCTATTTCTTCCTCTATAATATTGTACCTAGTAGTCTTACATCACCTAGTTTTGAATGCTTTCATTACTACAACCTAATAAGCAGTTGTCTTCCACCTAATCCTCTTTTCCTCGAGACAAAATGGTGTAAAAAACTAGGTAGGTTCTAAATTATTGTTTTGCGGATGACTTCAATTTATGAGCAAACAATTCTGAAACCCACTATAAGAACAGTTCCTTAAAGAATTTTTTTTGAAATTTTGTTAATCAACTCTATGAAAAAATTATGAAATGACAACCCTATTTATAGCTAAATGATTCGAATCCTAATCAAAGTAGAAAAACATATGAAACACAGATGTGTTATAATGAATTAGGAAGATGAAATATAAATAATCAATTTAATTATATCTTGCTTTTGAGAGAAAGATCAATAGATGCTTCATTAATCCAAATGAATGGTGATTGTGGTCTGATGTTATAGTATATAAATAAATACATTATGTCAGCTCTTTGATTGTGCTTCACTGCTTGTATGTATGATGTCCATCGTTCAGAGTTGTTAGATTGTGACCCAGTGTTGCAAACCTTAACTGGTTGTTTCAATTAGACAACTTTGCATAGAATACAAATTGCAAAGAGTTTACAATAGTAGAATGAAATTTCCTGATAAATGTATCTTTGAGTTTTTAGGAATACTTCTGTAACCCGGCCCTGACTCTTGCTCCTACAAAGTGGCAGAAATTTACATCCAGTTTGATGGTAATCTTTCTTACAACTTATTGTATATATTTAGCTTTATTTTAATGTAGCTTTGTCTCTTAATTTTTTTACCCAAAAATAAAAGATTTATTACTATTTTGTTCTGTTTTGCTGTTGACATCAATTTTATTTTCTATATTTGAGGTCTGTAGGTTGTGTTGAATACCTTTGATGCCCAGCCTTTAAGTGATGAAGAGGGAGATGCTAACAATTTGGAGGAGGAGGCGGCAACTTTCAACATAAAATATCTTACCAGCAGTAAACTAATGGGTTTAGAGGTAAATGATGTTTGAAAGCATTGAGAACCAATCATACAGAATATTTTGGTTTAATCATTTCTATCTCCTTTGGCTGCAGTTGAAAGATCCAAATTTTAGACGCCATGTTCTTTTGCAGTGCCTTATATTGTTCGATTATCTAAAGGTGTTAATATTGGACCTTATATCTGCCTTTGTTTCCCATCTCGTAGTTGTAGCTGATTTATCAGTCTTTGTATATTTATCTTTTGTTAGGCTCCAGGAAAAAATGACAAAGATTCGCCATCTGAAAGCATGGTTAGTGCTGTTTTTTATCTCATATTTGTTTAACATTTTTTGAGTAATACCTATTTGTCCTGACTGCTAAGTTTTGATGAACTTACTACATTTGATTAAAGACTTGAGATGCTACTTTTGGCAGGAAGTTTCAATTTTGATATTTGATATGGTTGTTATTTTTCTTTCCTACAAATGTAGATAAGTAGATGCATACTTATGAGGTATAGAATTGAAAATTCTACTTTTATTTTGTCTGTAATTGCAGAAAGAAGAAATAAAATCTTGTGAGCAGCGAGTAAAGAAATTACTTGAGATGACCCCACCTAAAGGGAAGGATTTTCTTCAAAGCATTGAGCATATTTTAGAACGTGAAAAGAATTGGGTAAGCATGTTTTTATTGCAACTTACTCTCTTATTTGTTTTATATTCTCTTGTATTATCTTCTGGAAGTTACAGTGAACATATTCTAGCTAATTTTTGTTCGAAATTTGTCATGCTCTTAGGTGTGGTGGAAACGCGATGGTTGTCCAGCATTTGAAAAGCAACCAACAGAGAAGAAAACAGTTCAAGATGGACTGAAAAGACGGTATGTAAGGCAGTGGGTTAATAGTTCTATAATATGACAATAATATTCTTTGGAATTTGATGTGCTTTAGAAGAAATATTTAGCGTAGAATGTAGAGAGAGATTACTGTCTTCTGTGTAAGACCCTCTTGCCATAGGCCCATAACCTAATTCAATGCTAGGCTTTATGTCTAATATTGAGAGCTTTTACATCTATACTGTAGTCAAATTAGCTGAAGCTTATAGTTTTTAAGATCCAAACGCCTTCTATTGGTATGTGTATCATACTTGGTTAACATTGGAAGTCAATGATTTTTAATTTTATAAATCGTGCAAATTGTCACTATTAGTGAATATGTATGGGTATTTACCCAACAACAGAAGATGTCAAATTGAGGGCAGGTGTAGAGTTAATTCCCCAACTTTAATTTACTGCCTCTTTGAGGTTTGCCATGATCTAGCATCCAATTAGTGTTTGGTAAAGCCATTTTTGGAAGTGATTGCATTATAAGTTAATTATGAAATAATCATGTTACTGAGAAGTTTGAAAGGCAATCTGAAGTAGATTTTCAAGATCAGCTTATTTCATGGTTTGTTTATGCAAATATACAATTCCAAAATACTCTAATAAAATAATGTTTATTAGAAAATAAAATTACTCATAATTTATTAATATTTAAAAAGAAAAACTATTATCAGCTAGAGGATTAACATATAGCTGATGGTGTTTGGCAACCGCCGTTGGCACTTAATTGTTTTGGTGTAAGCTGATCTATCCAGTCGTGTTGGTGTTACTAGTGTTAGAGGCTGCAACATGTGATTGGGTTTATCAGCCTCCGCTGAATATTTTGGTGTCAGCAGTATTTTGGATGCGCTCTAGTGTTGATGGCTGACGAGTGACCAACAACAATAATTTTCTTCTTTGGAAAACTAATAAATTTAATTTGAAATAATATGTATTAAAAAATATTTTAATTAATTCATAAAGTATTTTTAAATGTTTTAAATATGTTTGTGTTCCCCTCAGTTACATAAATAAAAGTAGAGTTAAATACAGTTACCTTTCTTGATGTTTTTTGAAAATAGTTGTACCTCCAAGGTTTAGAAATATAACCTTTTCCCCCTATTTTAGTCAACTAAATAAATAGAGGTGAAATTTCATTAATGCCATTTAAATAACTAAAAGGTAGGGGAGGTTTGTAAATGTTTCTGAAACTTTTGGAGTGTATCTTTCCATATCTCAAGAGAGGTGTGTGTATTTACCCATAAAAATTCTATCAGTTTCTTGCCATCTTTCTTCTGGCATTGATTTTTTTACTGTCTATCAATTGTGATTGATACCAGACATATGTTTAGAGTTTCCATCTTTATTTATTAGTTTCTTATTTACTCTTACAGTAGGCCAAGGTGGAGACTCGGGAATAAAGAACTCTCTCAATTGTGGAAGTGGGCAGATCAGAATCCGGTATAGTAATATATACTTAGTACTATTGCTATTTTTTGACATGCAAAAGCTTGGCATCAGAACATTATTTTGTGAAAATTTACTTGTCGTCAAACAATCGCATAGCATCACACTTTGTGTTTCAACAGTGAAGTTGTTGCTATATTGCCAACTCAGTGATTTGGATTATTAATCAGCGGTAGCATCCAATTTTATCGGACAACCTATTGACTGTTCTGGGGTGGGTTTAAGGTTGTTCATAGCTTGAATAATTTGTTTGGGCTGTATGCTTACTAGTTCTTTGTAATGCTACCAATGAGACAGTTAATTGAAAAATATTGCAAGGATAAGCATAAAGCGCTTAAATTTGGACCTTTTTACAGCTATTATTATGAGACAGTGAGCCTTATTAGGAATGCAGTCCCTCCTTCTAAGCTCGAAAATCTCTCTATTGTTCTTTGTTTATTCTCTATTTGAATGTATCTTATCAAAGTGATATATGACAAGCTAAAAACTCAAAATTAAAAAGGGAAAGAAACCAACACAAAACTAGCCTCATTCTAACTTGTAGAAAATGTAATCAGATCTATACTTAAGAACACTAAAAAGTCATTCATGTTCCTGTGCATGAATATCATACACATCCCAGCATGAAGCTTAGGGATTGTAGTTTGCTTCTCCCAGCATTTTAAATGCTTTTTATGGGTGATGCCACTAAAATATCTCAAAATTTCATTGATGGAATGTCATTCCAACTTTGCTTTATTGTTACTTACATGTATAAATAATGCTAAATTTGATTTGTGTGGTTTCTTAAAGTCTAATGTTCTCCCGGAATGTCATTTCCTAGTTTCCCTCGGTTACTTTTCTTTTCTATATATTTTTAATTAATAATTCATATGACATAATTAGTTTTAGTTATCTGGATAATCATTCTGTGTAATATCTTCATTGACATTTCCAGAATGCTTTGACTGATCCTCAACGTGTTAGAACTCCAGCCATCACAGAGTACTGGAAACCTTTAGCTGAAGATGTAAGCACCGTTTATTTTTCTTGAAACATACCCGTTGATACCTCCATATCCCAGGAAAAGTTCTGAAGTTGTCCCTTATTTTTTGGTACAATATATTATTCATGTTTTCCTTCTTGATATAACAGATGGACCCATCTGCTGGAATAGAAGCTGAATATCACCACAAAAGCAACCGGGTAAATTTTGGTTCTTGTAACATTAAGTTTTTCAATGGTTTGTTGCTTTTGAGATGTTTTACTTTGGGCAAATAATGATAAATTGTATTCGATATGATATTTGAACCAAGGCGCTTAATTTTCTCTAGTGTATTGCTTTTAAAAAGTAGAGGAATTAAAATATCTTTTAGATGATAGGTGTAACAAAATTATCAAATATGAACATGATCGAAAATATTAAATTTGGATATATAGGTGATAATTTGATTCTTGGATATGTAAGTAATTCCTTGTAATTCTTGATGCAGGTTTATTGCTGGAAAGGTCTCCGTTTTTCAGCTCGCCAGGACTTGGATGGGTTTTCTAGAGTATGATTAATATACAATTTAGAATTTTTAAAGAGATGATTTAGTTTCAATTAGCCTTATGGATATTACAGCGATACCATTGCAGTTTACAGACCATGGTATTGAAGGAGTTGTGCCACTGGAACTTCTGCCACCTCATGTCCGATCCAAATACCAAGCTAAACCAAATGACAGGTCTAAACGTGCCAAAAAGGAAGATATGAAGGGTGCTCCACATCAAGTCGAAGAAAATCAGGTAGCTATGGGATGACATTTGGCTTTTAAATCACCATGTTGATAGCCATATTTGTGTTCTACGCATGCATTAATCATTGAACAGACAACTTTGGTTCCCAAACTGGCCCAGACCAAACTATGTTTGTGCGATACCGTTGCAGTATGTTTGTAAAAGGAATTGCCTCTTACTCTGCTGAACTTGGCTTATTTACAGCCCAGATAAGCTTAAAATCCTCCCCAAACCGCCAAGGAAAAGAAACGCCCTTCATATCTTTGAAACCATTTTTTCATACTTTCATTGTGCTTACCTCTTTCTCGTATGCCCGTATATTTTGCCTTGCAGCAACCCCAGAGGCCACCTTAAAGTTTAGTTTAGTTACAAATATCATACTTAGGCTAACAGGTGCTAAAGTTTAATCGCTCCACCTAAATGACTTTTTACAAGGTCTTAAAGATGATTAAAGTATCATGGTAAAGAACTAATACTGAGGGAAAGGGGTGGGGAAATCATAAAAAAACTAAAGCGAGCCTTGTGTGCGGACTTGGACTTCTACTAGAACCTAATGAAGCTTAATTTTTGGCGAAGTATGTCAAGATTTTAGTCCTAAGCCAAGAATAAAAGACTGGAAATTTTGGTAGTCTCAGTCATGTAGCGTTTATTTTTCAGAAGTCTTAGATGATGGAAACGTAAAAGATGACCTTAAAAATCTAGTAATATTGAATTTTTTTTTGGTTTTGTAGAATTTTGATTATGGCTTTCTGATTTTGTTAGGTTGCAACACCTGCAAGTGAGAATGATGGCGATGTAATCAGAGGTGATCTTGAAGCCTCAGCAGCTCCAATGGACACTGATGCCACAGTTGCAACTGGTAACATCTCCCAAGGTGGAACTCCAACGCCTGAGGAACAACAGAAGCTCTCTGACACCGATATCGGTCAAGAGGCTGGGCAGTTAGATGCTGATGCAGGAATGATAGACGGGGAGACGGATGCAGAAGTTGATTTAGATGCAGTTGGCTAAGCGGAAAGAAATTATTTGACTGTTCAACATCTGATTATAGCGCGTAGCTGTGAATTAAAAGATGATACTATTGCTAACTGTCTAGAGCTGGGACGCAAAGACGGGAGGTTTTATCTGTATTTCTAGCGAGAGAAGATAGTGGCAATTTCTGTCTTTGAACTGGTAATACGATTTATTTATTATCTTACCATAATTTTTTTAATTTTTTTTTTTTTTTTTTTTTCATTATGTGTCTTACTTTTGGGTATTTGCATCTGAATCCTGAAATTTTACAAAAAAAAAGAAAATGGAAGGAATATGTGGTGAGTGTGAGTGGCCTTGAATTGTTTTTGAGTTTAATGTTATTGTTTAGATCAATAATCCTAACTCGTTTGATAAATTAGACTTTTTAATTAAATATATTTTAATAATAAAGCATTTAAAAAAGTTTTATAAATAAGGTGTGATATTTTGATTTTGATTATTTATATATCTTTTTAAATTTTAACCTAATTGCTTCCTAATTTCCATAAATATACTAATACAACGGCAAGTCTTTAAGATTGAAGATTCTTCACTTATAATATTCAAATTTAATCGGCTTTTAATTTTTTACTTAAAAATTTATAAATTTAATATGAACGCTTTATTTAATTACATATAGGTGCTATGCATGGGGATGTGAACACGACACCATTCTTCTCGGCAAATAATAGTACCTACGAATCTACCTTACTATCCATTATAAAAAGGGAAATGCTACATTACAAAAGAGTCTTGATGTGACATGTAGTATTTCCCTTAGAAAAAGCCCTAAATTGAATCAAATTGGAGTTGTTTGTTCATGCATTAAAACAAATATTTACTAATTATAACAACTTTATACTAAGTTAATCCAATTTTTAAACTAATTAAAATTTAATTTAAAGTAAATTGAAAAAATTTACATCAGAATTTAAGAAAAAAAAAAAAAACGTTTTGAGTCAAGTGGGTTTCGATGACTTAAGTCGCAGATTCAAACTCGTTTGTTCCCAGAGCGTCCTTAACTCTGCTGATCCCTAGTTTTTTGTCTAAAATCTGGCAGCTCTTGTCTTTAAGCAACCACTCAGGCACCGCTATTCAGTCCGGCGAACTCTCTGTGAAGGGAACTCTCTCTATCAAGTCTGTTGAAGAACACTCTCTCACAATGTGTTTGATTTGTGTTTATAATTAATGATAAACCGAAATTAACTCTCTCAATGCCTGCTTCTCCCTGTCTCTCTCTCAATTCTTTGCACAAGTCACAGCTCTTGGACATTCCATCTCAGGAACTAAATCAAAAAATTGAAAAATTTTGATACTAAATTCAGGTGTCAAGAACAAGTCTAGTTCAAAATAAACAATTCATCTCTCTTTTCAATTTTGTTTTATTCTTTTAATTGCTTAAGATATAACCCTTCTTGAATTATAATAATAAATGCCTCCTACTAGCTAGTAGCTACTAGTCCATATTTGTTTTTAATCTTGAAATGGCATTTAAAAGCATAAAATACAATGAATTCTGGGAAGAATAAAACTATGTGCACTAATCAATGTGTACTAATCCAAGTACTAACATTGGAAATTTGAATTCCCTCAAAAAAAAAAAATTTCAAATTTCCAATGTTAGTACTTGGATTAGTACACATTGGTTAATGCACATAGCATTACTCTTCCGGAAAACAAATGAGTAAACGACTTCCTTAATGACACTTTCCCACCCAAAAAAAATTCAAAATATCAATTTACTACCCAAAGTTTATATTTCAACCAATCATCAACCGATTTCGGCTTCATTGTAACCTCATACCACCACTATTTTCTACCTCCATCATGACTAATTAAAAACCCTCAAAACTTGTTCCTGTCGACCCCTCCAATCGCTAACAATTGAGCGATTTGTGGAAAGCACAATCGTCTTTCCCAAGTCAAAGTCCGACCAATCCTGACCACCAAAAGATTTACAGACATCTCCTCTTCAAAAGCTCCAACAGTTTGACCGAGTTTACTCTTTGTTCGTCACAGAATCGGAAAGTATATTTTGGGTAGTACAGGAAATATAAACTTTGAATAGTAAATTGGTATTTTGAAACTCTTTGGGTGAGAAAATGTCATTAAGGCAAACCTTGGGTGTGAAAAAGTGGTTTAATCAAAACAAATTTAAGAAAGCAGTATCATATTGGTCAATGGATATGTGAATGGAAACATGTTGGATTTGTGAAAAAGGTAATTTATTTTTTTAATACAAAGTAAATTTAATGTTGATTTACTTTTAAGTTCACATTTATTTATTTTGTTGAATGGAGAAAATTGTTTTTCCCATGCATGCCATAAGGAACTTTAGGCGATACACATGTTGGGACTGACTTGGAAGGAAATGTTTCGAAATCCACAGTAGTTATGTGGTTGGCATCCACTTGAAGTCTATGGGGCCCGTGACCGAGAGTTTGGGCGTGAAGAGATTGCAACCCAATGAGCTAAGAAAAACTCATACAATCAATGAGACAAGACATTGAGAACGTCGTTTGTGAAAGTGCCAAAAAACACTTGTTGAGATAAAAGATAACCAACTCAACTGTAAGGAGACTTTCAAATTCACTATATGGGCTTTTACTTTTAATGATAACTCTAAACCTTGATGTTGACATNTTAATACAAAGTAAATTTAATGTTGATTTACTTTTAAGTTCACATTTATTTATTTTGTTGAATGGAGAAAATTGTTTTTCCCATGCATGCCATAAGGAACTTTAGGCGATACACATGTTGGGACTGACTTGGAAGGAAATGTTTCGAAATCCACAGTAGTTATGTGGTTGGCATCCACTTGAAGTCTATGGGGCCCGTGACCGAGAGTTTGGGCGTGAAGAGATTGCAACCCAATGAGCTAAGAAAAACTCATACAATCAATGAGACAAGACATTGAGAACGTCGTTTGTGAAAGTGCCAAAAAACACTTGTTGAGATAAGAGATAACCAACTCAACTGTAAGGAGATTTTCAAATTCACTATATGGGTTTTAACTTTTAATGATAACTCTAAACCTTGATGTTGAAGTGTTGACATAATAATTCATTTATTGTGAAATAAAATGTTGTTTTCCTTCTTCATACCTTGATTTTTCTGTCTTTTTTAACAAGTACATCTATATTTGTGATAGAATAGAGTTTGAAAGATCATCAAACAAGCTTGATTTGAAATCCATACCAGACATTATGGAATTCAATATTCATCTAAAGATGATACAACAAAAGTACCTTTTTTTACATGATTGAAATTAGCTATTTATAATATATGCGTGATCAAGTTCTTTGTTTACAAGAAAATAAAGAAACAGAATTTGTGAGACATTAAAATCATATGTTTTTATAACCTTAAAACGGAAACTTGAAGAATTGCATTAATACTCGTGTAAAAATGAATTTTTCAATAAATTTAAATTCATTAATCTAAGACCTCAAAAATATGTTAAAACTTGAGTACGACTGCCAAAGTATTAGGTCATTAAGGAATCGATCAAACCAAGCCACCACAAGCAAAAATATTTCAATACCATAAGAGCACAGAAAATCCTGACCAGAAGTATATCATCGTTCACAACTGGTAAACCGTCCAATAAATCAGTTCTAGATATTTGATTTTTTTATTTTTTACTGGATGATGAGTAATAGAACATACAGAATCTGTATCCAGTTACTTCACTGGTTGTAAGTTTGAAGCTCTCTCCTGTGAATGTTGTTATGTTTTCTGCAATCAATATTTAGGACAAACAATAAGAACTTGCCACCAATGAGAAACAACAAAAGCATAGATTTTTTACAGGTAAAGAAAATTTGGCTTGGTTTCTTACCTGCATTGGAAGGTACAGTTTAAATTCTGGTGGGAGTTCTTCTTCAAAGTACAGACGATCGGAGAAATATATCCTCCTCAGGCGACAGTTTGCATGAACCTGAACTCGCAAAGTCTCGACATAGTTGGTTCCATAAGCTCTCCTGGTGAAATCAGCCAGATTCAACTGGATTTGATTCCAGCCCTCATCCAACCGCAGTGGCATTGTGCAAATATATGGTTTCACCCGTGTGACACTCTGTAAGATTAAGAAACAATAAATAAAAATTGAACAAAATTGGTTTTTCAATTCATATTTATGGCCACTGAAGAAAGTGAATTTAATTCCAAAAAGACAATATTTTTACTTCTATTACAGTGTGTTACACTCCATTCCGTCTTATATCATATCCAAAAGATGCACAGAACAAATTATACAGCCGCGTGATTACTGATTCAAGGGAAAATAAAATGCCAATATGGATGAAGGGCAACAGCAGGGATTCTTCCCCTTTATCAGAGCAAACTGTCCAATGACACATCTAACAACAAAAATCCTTCACCAGTGTCAAACTAAAAAACTCAGCACTTGGGTATCACCTAAATAAAACTAAAATAAAACCAGTTGAACTGTATCACACATAAAGGGTTTCTACCTGGGGCTTGAGTATGATACAAATTTTCATAAAACAAAAGTTAGTAAGGAGTGTGAGGAAACCACATTACAAGTTCTGATTAGTTTAATATTTAACCAACAAAATTTGCTGTAATAATTAATGTCACTACCCTAGAAAACTTCTAACCACATTACTGAAACAAAGCAGCCTTTACCTACCAAACTATAATAGACAAATGAAAAAGACTTTAAGAAATAATTAAAAACAATAAGCATCAATAATCATGGGCAAACTTACAGACTTGAAAGTTAGAAGCTCGAAAACGCCGTCGAACATTCTTATCGTCCAACACCTGAATCTCAAATGTGAAATATTGCTTCAGGTTCTTGACAATCATAACCAAGAATGGGAGTTTTATGCCAAGTGTTGCAGCAGGGTCTGCCGGGCATGTAATGAATGTGGATTGTATATTTGACCCAATTATTTCAAGGACATTGGATTGGATGTCCTCATCGTGAGGTCGCTTTACGTGACCATCAACAACTGCAGAAAAACTTGGTATAAATAGTAACACAAAATATATGATTGAAAACAACAGATAGTAACCGCACCATCAAGTCAAGTTCTTATACACCAATACAAGAATAACATCTAAAAAGACTAAATAATGTTCACCTCTAAAAAATAAAAAAATAAAAAAAACTCCTTTCGAAAAGATGATAGAAATGGTCTGAACAAATGTTCCTCCAAATTGCTTAAAGTAGAATTTTGCAATACTCAAAAACATAAACAGTTATTTTCATAGAAACATGTTCAGTCTCAAAAGGAAAATTCTTGGCAGAAAGAATCAGAGAGGCAGCAATTAACAACCACCATAGAAATCAAATTATAGTACAATACACCCCTTTTCATTCCCTTCACCATTAAAAGAAATTAATGGGCAAGGCAGCACACTGTTACCACAGCTCACATTTGTTTACACTTGCACAGATAAAATGCTCTTAAGTAATGCAAAGGGCAAGCTAACATCTATGTAACCACAAAACACAACTGTATGCTACCCCAGATACTCGTTCAAATAGGCAAGACGCAATAAAACAACATGATAAGTAAATCAAAGACTTCGATTCTTGTTTGTGCACAAAACACTTCGCAGAAAGAATGAAACAAACAAGATCATTTCATTTTAATTTTAGCAACATAGCAAAAGATATTCTATTTGTAATGAATAAAGGGGTTGACAGGATGTGTATACGTAGTTCAGGTCGATCAGAAGGCACAGAAATAGCTAGAACTCAATTCAAAAACCAAGGTAAGAAAAAAATCACATTATATTTAATCAGAAAACCTATTGTGCTCATGCAGAAGTATTCACTCGTTACAGAATCTCTCGCCTAATATGTGTACTTCTTAAATAAAAGAGTTAACAAGCAGCCTTGTCCCCACAAAATGATTCTTTTTCAACAGAGACAAGGCAACAAATGAAACAAAATAATACAAATTATTAAAAAAAAAATAAAAAAATAAAAAAAGCTTTGATACATAATCACCAGTAATATTAGGAGAGCAGAAGGAACTGACCTTCTTTGTCCCAAATCTGCAAAGGTTTGCTCCTGAAAATTCCAAAGAATCACAGATAATTCAAATTAAGAGTCGATTAAAAATATAACAAAGAATAATAATAATAAAAAAAAAAAACAGAGAAAAATTAATAACTCACCCGAGACTGTATAAGATGGATAAGAATCCAGATTGAAACGTGTTCTTAAACATCTTCAAAATATCAAACCGAAACTGAAAATCAAACCAAATATTGAAATTTTCGGAATATAACAAAGTACAAACCCTAACGAAATTGGAAACATTTAGAATCCTTAAACGCTTGGCTTAGCTGAAACGCGAACGAAAATAGTAAATTACTGAAACACTTGAAACGAATAAGAAACCAGTGATGAAGATTTCCTACCTGTTTGTTTCTCGGGAAAGTTTAAGCGCACTATTTGAAATTCCCTTGTCGTACACTACTATTTTCTTTTCTCTTTTTTTATTTATTTATTTTTGGATTATTACAGACCCGTGTAGGTCTTGAACTCTGAACGCTGAACGGAAAGTGTTTTAATTATTAAAAAAAAAAAAAAACTAAAATTATAAAAACTCCTTTAATCAGGGTTTGTAATACTTTTATGAAAATTAATAATATTTCGGATGATAATTTATTTATTGTTTTTGTCATATTTATTTCAAGCCTCGAGAATTCCTAAAGCTACAAGACTGAAGACCCTAGTAACTAATAATCCCCATTTTCATTTGCACAGAATTTTAATTATTGATTTTATATATTGTAGATGAAAAAAATCTACCGTTATGAAAATATGGTCTGATCCCGTGAGGTTGAGGTTACTGACAATCCGCTAGACCTTCATCCATAAAAGGATAAGCCTGAAGCTTACAGAAAACACCGGGGTGGTATTTGCCGTAGGCACTCCAATGCTCAAGTCAGCAAGACTGAAAGAGATTATTTGATAGGGATTAAGGAGAAAAAGGATTACCAAGAGTCTTGTCGAAGGCTAAGACCACGGCGGAGGCGTCGGGTTCTTGGGAGCAAGAACTTTATGAGTATATAGATGGTTTTGAGTAGTCGAGATTGAATAATGGAAATTGCAGGGCAAGCCTCTGTTTTTATAGTGAGCCCAAAGGGTTGGAATCTTAGTAGGACACCGAGTCCTCTTTTGGGAGATAATCCTTATCAAAAAAGAAATATGATTTCTTGACTTTATCAGATTAAGTTTAATAGTTTGAGTAAAATTTGAAATCTTAATAGAAGAGAAAATAGAAGGAGATTCTGATTTCCTATTTATGGATTGTTACAAGCTAATGGGCTGAAATCAAGTTTAGCTTAACTTATAGGATAGCCCAACTCATAGAGTCGGTAGTTCACAAGGTGATTTAAAGCGTAGGCCCAATCGGGATTGGGCTGAGGCCTTGGGCCGTGATATGTTTATTTCGTTATTGGGCCTCGTCAGGCTCAAGACGATTTTTGGCCCTAACATATATGCATAAATTTTAGGTACAACAAATAAATCCAATGGTGTATTAACATATTCCTACCAAATTATATCATACCGTTTTAACTAGAAAATTAATAATATATATATGCAGTAGAGCATCTTTATAGTGATATTCTATATAAGAATAATCTTCATATAGTCATAAAAAAATTTGGTTTTAACTTGGTCTAGTTATAAATAAGAATAAATTCCACATTGTAATAAGTTATAATTTTTCTAGGTTTTGTCATAATAATTATATGTATATTACAAAAAATATATGTTATGTTAAATTAAAGGTTTGAGATAAAATAAAATATTTATCTAAAATTGTTTGGGACAATAATTTATGTTTTAAAGTTGTTACTACATCTTTTAACTTACAGTTACATAATAGATCGTCAGTATGGATACCTTTTTGTTAAAGCCAAAATATTTCTAGCTTCTCAAACATGGACACGAAACATTTGGTATTTCCGGACTATCATCATTAGGATTATCTCCTTTTTCTTGTCTAATTCCAATAATGATTTATTTTTTAATTAAAGCATACACTGACTTGTTATTCATTTAGATGATTGAGGAAGACATTAAAATCCATTTGATTAGTGTAATAAAATTGTCGAATCTGATCACTCAATTCTGCAATGACTCTTTGATTATCCTCATCCATTTTCATTTGTAACTTGCAATTCATCAAAATTGGGAGTCCTAATTTTGCAGTGCTTAAAATAATTGGCAACAAGCGGTAAAACAATAAATTGAAATCCTAATACTACTAAAACATGAATTATGAAATAAGAAATCAAAACAATAATTTTTGTAATTACCTCTATTAAATTATAATCTCCTTATAGTAATAAAATTAGTTGGTCTGACTATTATGACTATAGAGAGGTTCTACTGCATATAGGATTGGGATATGATGACTTAATATTTTGACACTCCTTGTAAACCATTCATCTTTGTTGATCCTACTGTGACAAGAGATGTTGGGTAGACATTAAATGTAATGAACTCTAACTTTACACTTATCACTATTAGATTAACAAAAATGAATAGTCAAAAAATGTCACCATATCCTGATTTATATACTATATTAAATCATTTAGATAATTTAAGCCAATAATGCTTCTATTAAATTCAATACCAAAACACCCATACTTTGTTCAAATATACCAAACAACAATACTTAAAGTAAAAAAGCCTTTTTCATTTGTGATTCAAAATAATTTTTAAAAATTAAAATACGATTCAAATTTCTAAGTTGTATCTTAATATTTTTTATATGTGAAAATGTATTTGATATAATATTTAAAAATTGTTTTTAGATTAAAAGTTATAAAAAAACTGTAAAAACAATTTTTAATCGTTTTCTAATTTTACACTAGTTTTTAAGATTGTATTCAAAATCTAGTTTTAAAAGCATTCAGACTCATTTTTACAAAATGCATTTTCATAAGATTAGTAGAATCTTTTTTTTTTTTTTAAATATATTTGAATTCTATATCAAATTAACAAATTTCTTCTCTATATTCTCTCGTATTCTCTTTTATAAAAGAGAAAACAAATTAAAATCACAAAACTTTTTGTTGTTGTTGTTATGTTAAAATAATGACTTCATTGATGATTCCAAGTATTATTTAATGATTTTGTGGTAAAAGGTTAGATTATAAATGACAATACCATGAGCACATTAATTTTCTAATTAAAAAATCATTGAGTTTATATGAAAAAATATTCGTTGATTCCTTACTTATTTGAATGCCTTTATCAATTTAGTTGTTGCTAAATTTAGTGACAAAATAAGAACTAGATATTCAATTTCGTGGGTGTCTATGTATCATATTATATATATGTATATTGTCTTTTGAAAACATTTTGTGGGTTTACCTATAATTTATTATTCTAAAGGATGTTTAATAGGATAATGTAAATTTAAAAGGGTTGTTTTTTAATTTGTATGCATATTTTTATTGACTACTTGGAATATCCGTTGGCATATTCCCGTGGTTGCTTTTGGATTATGAGATTGTCTCAATTTACTCCTATGAGGACTGAGGATTCGCATGGTTGGTTTTTTATGGAGTAAACGATTTTTTCCCAGACTTTTTTCCACCCAAGGTTGGCCTTAATGACACTTTCTCACCCAAAAAATTTTAAAATATCACTTTTTACCCGAAGTTAATATTTCGTTACTATCTAAAGTTGATTTCGGCGGTGAAAATTCTTTTCGTCACCATCATTTGAACCTCTGATCTCCTTTCTACAAAACTCTCCTCACTTCGACATCTAATTTCTCGTTGAATGTCGGCCATCGCAAAGCTTGGGTTTTCTATTCTTAGCTAATTTTTCGGTTGACTCTGACTGCGAATATTCAATCGGTTACTACCATTTGATCCACCTGTCTCCACTCTACAAAACCTATCTTACCCTGACTCTTGGTAACTCTCCGAACACCAGCGGAGAAAATGAAGTGTATTTTAGATATTAATAAAATATAAACTTTGGGTGGGAAAGTAGTATTTTAATACCTTTTGGGTGGGAAAGTGTCATTAAGGCAAACTTTGGGTGGGAAAAAGTAGTTTACTCTTTTTTATAGTAATAAAAAATGTTGGTCATTACTAGTGACTTTGCTTTTTAACAAACACTCCACAGGATAACCATTACTTGTGTACTTAAATTTTCATTTTAAATGACATACTTTTTCATGCACGACTTTCCAACAGTATTATTTATAGTTTTATTTTAGATATTTTTAGGTGGAAACGGTATAGCTTTTGTTTGATCAGGATAGTTTAAGAGGATAATGTTAGAGATGGCTCAAAATTATAGTTTAAGAACTTGATATGGACCATTTAATTGTATAAAATATGCTACTTTTTCATAATATCACTTAAGATTGCGTTTGATGATTTATTTTAATGGTTTTAGACTGATATTTCTATGTTATGATAAAGTTAATAATTAGTCTTACAACGCTCATTATATTTATTATTATTATTATTTTAAAATTTGGTTTATGCAATTTCAATGAGTCGCTTTCACTTGTTTGTTTGTTTGTAATACAAGTTTATCCGTAGAGGAATCTTTTGTTACTTTTGATGAATAAAAGGTGATATGTCTTTGTTGAACTTTACTTCCAAACTTTTCCTATATTTGAGCTCTTGACACTTGATACCTTATCCAAACCTTACATTATAAATATTCCTTTTCAGTTTTTGAGTTTCCAATATTGAGACAGATTGATCATGTTACTTAAAAAAATAACAAAAGAGAGAGAGAGAGAGAGAGAGAGAGAGAGAGAGAGAGAGAGGTGGAAACTAAAAAGAACAATAAAGATTGACTCACAATCCAATCTCACAAATTATTTCTCACAATTCTGACGTGTTAGCTTGCAATTGGTCAGACGAAAAAATTCATTAGAAACCAATCATGAGTTGCAACGTTGGGGTTGTGAGTGAGAGTTTATGAGATTGTGTTGTAAGTGTAGTATTGTCCTAAAAAAAATAATGAGTTTATGTTAATTTATTAGTTGTTGATGATTATTGTGAATGTAACAAAACATTTTCAATAATCAATTTTTGTAAAAAATCTCGACAAATTCAAATAAGAAATCAATGGTTGAATAATAATTTAGACATACAATCTTTGTACAAACTATTATATACAAATTGATATAAGCACAAAATGAACGATATAAAAGAAATAAAAACATCAAGTTTACAAATAAGGATTATTGATGTCCAATAAAAGAGTAATATCACATTAATTCATATACAAAATATATGTAGAGAGTTTGTAATTGTGACATTTTTCTTTCGTTAACAAAACAATCCTACTGTAGACGTAAAAATCTACCTGTACGGAAGGCGGGTCTGATCCTGTGAGGTTGAGGCCACTAGCGATCCGCTGCACTTGCACACGTAGAGAAACAAACGCGTGAAGCAAATGGGAAACACCGGGGTGGTGTTTGCCGTAGGCACTCCGACGCTTAAGTCAGCAAGGCTGAAAAAGGCTAGTATAGTAA